GAGGCTTTCCGAGCATCCCTTGATGGCATAGAGCAGTGGTCGGCAAACTCATTAGTCAACAGAGCCAAATATCAACAGTACAACGATTGAAATTTCTTTTGAGAGCCAAATTTTTTTAACTTAAATTATATAGGTAGGTGCATTGTTATTAACTTAATTAGGGTACTCCTAAGGCTTAGGAAGAGCCACACTCAAGGGGCCAAAGAGCCACATGTGGCTCTCGAGCCGCAGTTTGCCGACCACTGGCATAGAGGATAGGGGGGCCGATTTGGAAATGTCTGGACATGTCTTGGTCACTGTATATGAGGACAGGAAGATGGAGGAGGGGTATAAAGGTATTTGTGGGGCCTTTTGCTCTGATAGTCTATGGTGGAGGAGGTTTATTGGACATTCTGAATTTGAGGAGTCTTGTGCAGTACCCAAAGCCTGCAAACATTTTTGAGAATTTGGACAAAGGTGGTAAATAAAACCGTATGAGTGGACAGGAATGCTGGGGCAAAGCTATAGAATGAAGAGGATCTTGGATTGAGTCCCCCAAACTTCTAACATTTAAAGTAAGGAAGAGGGCTTCTCCCTCAGCCTGGGCCCTGGTCGGGGCTCGAGCAGGAGGCAATCAATCGATGTGTTTCTCTTACATCAATATTTCTGTCTGTCCTTCCTTCTCTCTATAAATCAATGGAAAAAGCCCTAGCCGGTTTGGCTCAGTGGATAGAGTGTCGGCCTGCAGACTGAAGGGTCCCTGGTTTGATTCCAGTCAGGTCAAGGTTGCAGGCTCCTCCCCGGTTTGGTCAGGGTGCGTGCAGGAGGCAACCAATCAATGTGTTTCTTTCACATCGATATTTCTCTCTGTCTTTCCTTTTCTATCTTCCACTCTCTCTAAAAATCAATGGAAAAATATCCTTGGGTGAGGAATAAAATTTAAAAAATAATAATAAAGTAAGGAAGAGGAAAATAAATGGCCAGAAAAGGAGGAAAATCAGGTGAGACACCATGAGAAGAGTTCTTAAAGAGGGTGGACAGTTGTATCAGATGCTCTAGACTAGGGGCCAAAGGAATGTAGGAGAGATTGAAGTGTGGCTGTACCTCACCACTGGCTGGATGGGGGTATGGAGTCCAGAAAAGGGCTTTTGCAAAGCCAGCGGAGGTTTGCAAGTTTGTCTACACGTCTCTCCTTCATAGTATCGCTTTTTCTATTTTAACAAAAAGTAATCTACTTGAATCTAAAAATAAAATCAAGTTACCAAAGAATCTATATGCAGATATGTATAGCCCATGGACACAGACAATACTAAGGTGAAGGTCTGGGGTGGGTGGAAGCTGGGTGGAGTGGAGACTTGGGGAGAAAATAGGGGACATCTGTAATACTGTCAACAATAAAAAATAAACTTAAAAAATAAATAATACAGAAGAGCTAATAATACAAAGCACCAGCCAGTCTTCTCTCCACTGCAAGAGGCAACAATATTTTTTAAAATATATTTTTATTGATTTTTTTACAAAGAGGAAGGGAGGAGGATTGTTAGAAACATCGATGAGAGAAACATTAATCAGCTGCCTCCTGCACACTCCCCACTGCGGGATCAAGCCCGCAACCAAGGTACATGCCCTCGATCGGAATCGAACCCAGGACCCTTCCATCCAGGGCCTGACGCTCTATCCACTGAGCCAAACCGGTCAGGGCAAGAGGCAACAATTTAATAGAGGTTTAATATGCTAGTTGCTTCTTAACTAAGTACCTTGCTATTTCTCAATTTCAGTTGTTAGTAATATATTACATATTGATTTTCTGCCTTTACAACCTTTCCCCTCTTCCCATGGTAGTTTTATGGTACCAGTTTTCAGATCAGTCAATAAAGTGCTTGCATTATGTCTATAAGTACTTATTGTTTACTGCAGAGCACAAGTAATGTTCTTTGATTACATTTTCTTTCTTGAACAGATTGTGGATTTTTGTTTTGTTAACCTTCACCCAAAGATATTTTTTCCATTGATATTTCTGACAGTGGGAAGGGGAGAGATATATAGAGATACATTGATGTGAGAGAAACATCGATTGGTTGCCTCCTGCAAGTGTCTTGACCAGGGCCAGGGATCGAGCCTGCAACCAAGGTATGTGCCCTTGACCATGTTCAAACCCGGGACCCTTCAGTCTGTGGGCTGACAGACTGAACATCTTGCGCAAAGCATTAGGGGGCAATCAATGTTGGTGAGACTTGAGGCAGTCTGATCCCCAAGGAAAGCACACAGGTGAAATTTCATATTTTCCTGGCTTTTTCCTTGACATTTGCCAGTGTATGTGAGGGACTAGACTTAGAAAGTGACAGTTCTCCACTGGGCTAAGTTTACAGAGGTTGGACCAGACAGCTGGGGTGTGAGGGTAAAATTTCCATGTGGGGTATTAGCTCCCCAATCTACATACAACCTTCTGTTGAGGCATTTGCCAACTCATAAACTGCTCATTGTCATTGCAGGACCCAAGGTGTTCATCATAAAGTAACAATGGAGGGCCCTAGCCAGTTTGGCTTAGTGGACAGAGCATTGGCTCGCAGACTGAAGGGTCCCAGGTTTGATTCCGGTCAAGGGCATGTGCCTCAGTTGCAGGCTTGATCCATAGCCCTGGTTGGGGCGTGTGTGAGAGGTAACCAGTTGATGTGTCTAACATCAATGTTTCTGTCTCTCCCCCTCCCACTCTCTAAAAATCAATGGAAAAATATCCTGAAGTGAGGATTAACAACAAAGTAATAACAGAGGTTAAGGAGCTAAGCAGAGATCCTTTTTTATATATTTCCTGTTTTTATATATTTCATCCAGTCTTTATAACTGGTCTGTGCCACGTTAGTCCAAAATGGGCTATTCTTCATAGCCAATTCCCAAAGTCTAGTCGCAACACATGGGATATCTATGAAAATATACTAATTAGAGGTATTTTGTTCTCTTTTATTCCCAAAGTTGTCTCTGCTGGGACCAGTTTTTCTTTTTATCTTGTGGTGTCTTGCTGCAGGATTTTAAAGATGCATGTCATCTTTGGGTGTGTGTTTATAAAGACCAAAGCCGTTAGAATCAGTCCGATGTAGCTGACAGCTGCCTGCCTCTGGGCTAACAGGCCAAGTCTTGCTGCAGGATTTTAAAGATGCATGTCATCTTTGAGTGTGTGTTTATAAAGACCAAAGCAGTTAGAAAGAATCACTCTGATGTAGCTGATAGGCTGCCTGCCTCTGGGCTAACAGGCCGTTTGTCTTTAGGCTGAAAAACCTACAAAACACCGAAGTAGGTCCCAGCTTGTATCTCCTGGACAGCAAATGCCAAGCTTCATACATCAAGTGCCGAAACAAGCACTGCTGTACTCAGGTCCCGCCTTGTCTCCTACCCTCTCAGAACTGCAGCTGCAGCCTTGAGTCTGAGTCCAGCAAGAGTGACTGGCTTCTCTCTCATGGGATCACCAGACAAGGGTTCTCTCCATCATAATTTTTTATCCAGAAATGTGTTGAAATCTCAACTGCTGTGAAATGCTTGTTTCTTATTTGTTATCATTAGTAGCAAGACAAACGGTGAAATGCCCATCATGAACTGAAGGCCATTTTCCATCCTGGCCGCGTGGACTTCCTGCTCCACCTAATCTTCTCATCCTTGTATCTTGCTCTCATTCCATTTCTTCACCCTTTTCCTGCTCTCCAATTCATATATAATAGCTTCTCTCTCACACAAAGCAGCAGCTTCTACTGAGTAATCAAATGCTTAGGACCCACCGCTTCCCCCACCCAAGCTAGGGTTATGTGTGGAAGAGGTTAAAAAAAAAAAAAAAAGAGGGAGACACACTAAGGGATCAAAGACTTTTACAGAGGACTTCCTCACCCCATTTTAAACAGCTCCAGTTATACGCTGGGGTATCCCCAGCCTTAGGTCATCAAGTTCAAGTTCTAGGCATGTGCTGGAACACAAACCAAAGTAGGGTTAACATGTCAAGTGACAACCTTTTGGGGAAGACATTAAGAGAAGTGAAGAAACCAAGGTGCCCATGAACAAGAAATTAATTTTATTTTTAAATCCAAGGAACCGGAACAAACAACAAGACTTCTACCCATGGATGGCAAACTTAGATGGTGGCCAAGGTTGGGGGAAGAGGATGACAGCAACAGGGTGGGTAGGAACACGTCCAAACAGGTGAGGCCTCTTCACTCTGGTGCAGCCTCCATCAAATACCCGTTCTCTGGAGCAAGATACCCGTCGCCTCCCTCGGACTCCATGTACATGTCTCGGCCGTCATTGCCCAGACCCTCCAGCCCGTTGTCCTGGCCACCCCCACCCCCTCCTCGGGCTTCATCCCTGCCCCGCTCACTACCCCGCTCTCCCCGCTTGTGCTCGCGATCCCGGTCTCTGTCTCGGTCCCGGCGCCGATCCCGCTCGCTCCGGTGGCTCCGACGTCGTTCCCGGTCACGATCCCGGCCCTTCTCCTCTGGACCATCAGGGCCATCTGGACCCAGCTCCCCAGGAGGCCCATCATCAGGAGGTGCATCACCAGCCTCAGAGGGCTCTGCCATGTCACCACCACCTCCACCACCACGCAGCTCTTCCTTGCGCTCCCTCTCCCGTCGTGCCCGCTCACGGCTTCGGCTGCTTCGCCTCTTCCGTTCCCGGTCCTTGTCCTTGCTCCGCTCCCTGGAACGCCTCCGCTCATCCTTGTCGCGACTCCGTGAACGCCGCCGCCGGTCCCGAGAGCGGGAGCGCCGCCGTTCTCGCTCCTTGTCTCGCTCTCGGCTTCTCTCCCTGCGCTCCCGCTCGCGGTCCCGGTCCCGATCCCTGTGGGGAAGCGGGGAGGGGCCCGGCCTGGATGAGATGGGTAGATGTGTGTGTCAGGGCACCCCACGTGACCACCCCCCTTCCCAGGAAACCACCTGCCCAATCTTACCTCTCATCGTAGCGGGAGGTGTCATCACGGCCAGAATGCCGGATATTCACGTCCGCCCCACCTCTTCTGGTACCACCAAGGCCACCTCCTGGAGGTGGGGCAGAGGAACAGAGGGTCAGCCTGAGCATGGATGAAGGATGGGAAACGAGAAGCATCGAAGAGCACAGGGAAGGATACCATCTCTGTTGGTGTCTATGGGGCCAAGTTCTGTGAGGACATTTTGCTAGGCATTCTCTTAAAGTGACCAAGTGCAAGGAGAACCAAGAGAGTGGCATAGGTAAAGGCCGGTACTCACCACCTCCCACAACCACATCAAAATTACAACTAAAATACACAATAACCATCATTTAGAACCGCCTAAAAGCTGGTTGAACGAAAGCCCTACAACTAGAGAAATAAAGAAAGTACATTGAGACTGGTAGGAGGGGCAGAGGCACAGAACTAGCTGGTCCGATACCCACATGTGCCATTTTTTAAATCGAGAGGACTATCTCAGCTGCAGAGGCCCCCTGTGAGGAGCAAGGAGTTCAAGCCCCACACTGGACCCTCAGCCCAGGGTTCCAGAGCTGGGAGGAGTCCCCATAACTGAGGACTGTAAAAACCAGTAGGTATTGTGGCTGAGTGACACAGAGGCTGCTAGAAACCCAGGTGTTCCTCTTAAAGGGCCAGTGCACGAACTTATTCAGACTCAATCCCTCTGAGACCCAGCACCAGGCAGCTTTGGGGGACACAGGGACATATGGGGAGGAACTGGATTATCTGGCATCACAGCAGGGGGTGATCCCAAGGGTCATTGTTCATGTGTTGGGACCTCCCCATTGCAAAGCTGACTGGCAGCCATATTGGAGTTTCCATCAGCCTGGCTCACACTGTTCCCAATGCCCTCATGATTCCCTGAGACCCTGCCGATCCAATTTGCAGCCCCACCAAAGCTGTTTGGGGGTGCAGCTGCTTTTCCATATGAATGGCCTGTCTGAGCTCAAGCTTCAAACTTTGCTAAAATCTCTCAAACAAGCAGCTGGTATTAGCATGCCCCAAACCTATCAATAAAAGGCCTCACCTGGGCACTTCACAAGCCCAATATTAATAGAAACCATCTTCAGACCTTTCTGTAGCTCCTGCCAGGTGGCCCCAGGCAGTGGCTGACTGCACCTTCCAGGAGGCCCCACAGCAAATGCACCCAGTGGACAGCTTCAGACCATACGAGATTACAACTCTACACATCCACAAGCGACAGACTCAAGGGGCAGACTCAGTGAGCACCAAAGCCCCACTGAAGCAAGTCCTTCTCCATATGGGTGTCTCCTGCACAGCTGCTCTTCCACTGTGGTAGCAGCTGGTCTTCACAGCCAATTGGGCTGGAGGTCAATTCCTCCCAGTGATGCCAACAGCAATCAAGGCTCAACTACAACAAAACTATGCACACAGCCCACACAGGGGTGCACCTATAGGGCCTAGCTCAGGTGACTGGGAAGGCTGAGCCACTGGGCCTACAGGACGCCTACTCTATAAAGCCACTCTAACCAATTCCAGGAGACATAGCAGCTCTACCTAATACACAGAAACAAACACAGGAAAGCACCCAAAATGCATAGTCAAAGAAACATATCACAAGTGAAAGAAATGGAAGCAAGCAAACTACTGGATATAGAGGTCAAAACCATGGTTATAAAGTTACTCAAAGATCTTCATGAGATTTTCAAAAATCTTAATGAGAATGTCAAAGACAAGAAAAAGAACCAGTCAGAAATTAAGCATACACTAACTGAAATAAAGAATAATTTACAGAGATTCAACAGAAGAGAGGATTCCAAGAATCAAATCAACAATTTGCAGTATGAGGCACACCCAATTAGAAGAGCAAAAAGAAAAAGAATCCAAAAACATGCAGTTTCACATTTTATATGTACATATGTGAGTTGACTGACAAGTGTGCCTCTCCCGGCAGCCTGTAACGCACCAGGAGAGCCAGGACTATGTCCGGCTTTGCTTGCTGTAACCAGCATGGGGCACCGCATCCAGGACATAAAGGTGCATGTGCAGTAGTCAACCAACCGACTGAACAACACCAAGGAGCAGCGGGTAGTCCTGTTCTTCAGATGGGGAAACAAACTCAGATAAAGCCACTTGCCCATGCTGACAAGGCAAGGAAGGCGCGGAGCTGGGACGTGACTCCCAGCTAACTCCATGCACTCTCCTGTACCTCACTGCCTGGAACTCCACGTGAGGAATGACTTAGTAGCGAGGGTGAAAAAGTAAAGAGGCATTCAAAGAGAGACAGGCAACGGACCAGGCACCTGGTATATCACAAGTATGGGGCAGAATAGGCTAGTGTTTTCCATTTTCAGGTCCCAACCTAGCAGTGGGTCACATCATCAATTTGATGGGTTACAACCAGTACTTAAGAAATAATAAAACAGCAGAATACAGTATAAAACACTAGTATGCACTGCCCATAGAAAAGATAATTACTTTCATAAAATTTGGGTTGTATGTATTTTTTTAAAATATGTATTTTTATTGAAGAGAGAGGGAGAGAGAGATAAAAACATCAATGATAAGAGAGAATCATTGACTGGCTGCCTCCTGCACACTCCACACTGGGGATCAAGCCTGCAACCCGGGCACGTGCTCTGACCAGGAATCTAACCATGACCTGGTTCATAGGTCAACACTCAATCACTGAGCCTCGCTGGCTGAGCAGGTTGTACGCATTTTTACATACATATACTGGCTCAGGATATACCAGGTCTCACCATCAGAAAGTCTGAATGCCAACCAAACGAAAAGGTTCTGGGATTCCACCACAACAGAAAGTAGCAGACTCTGAAGAACCCACTGCACCCAGAGAAACCAGAGAGCAAGTAAGAAGCTGTCTAGTCCAGTGATGGCGAACCTATGACACGCGTGTCAGAGGTGACACGCAAACTCATTTTTTTGGTTGATTTTTCTTTGTTAAATGGCATTTAAATATATAAAATAAATATCAAAAATATAAGTCTTTGTTTTACTATGGTTGCAAATATCAAAAAATTTCTATAAGTGACACGGCACCAGAGTTAAGTTAGGATTTTTCAAAATGCTGACACACAGCTCAAAAGGTTCCCCATCACTGGTCTAGTCTATCAAGTTCAGAGACTCAGCAGATGAGTGGTCTACCCAGCACAGGCAAGTCAGGAGTGAGAACAGCAGGCTGGGAGGCAGGAATAAGAGCAGAGGGTACTGGACCCACTAGGGGTGTCTACCCAGGAAAGGCCATCTCCTCTGAGAGCTGTCACTCACCCTCGCAGGAGTCAACACCCTCAACAGACATGTTTGGATGGCAGACCCTCATCCCCAGGGCCAGGCCCAATGCTGAGCCAATCAGACCCACCTACTCCAAAGTGCAGAGATTCATTCAGGACTGGGTGTAGAGCAGGGAGCTGTGGAATACCACTGGGCCAGTGTGGGGAGACACAGAAAAGACCAGTCTGCATGGACAGCGGACAAGGCAGAAGCAAGCTGCACCGATGCCAGAGGTAGTTCTTTTCAGCTTTAAGGTGTGACTACCAAGTCCTCCTGAGGGCCACTGGCATCACGTGTCTCTGAGCTTCAAGATACTCAGGATTCTATACTGACAGGCCCCTTCAAATATACTTCTGATACTTGCAAACAAACTGACCTTGACTGAGAGTGTGAATGACAATTAGAAACAGACAGTGAGGGGGACCGAATATAGGAAGCAGTGAGGGCAGAAGCTGTCTATGCATGTCTTGCTCTTGACTAGAGAAGCCTGGTACACAGCTGGTGATCAAATAAGCATGTGCCGAATCAATGAATGAATGAGCAAGAGCAGAGAGTAAGCGGATGAGACGATGACATTTACAAGGCCCACCATATGCCGCTTGTCAAGCTGGGCACCTGATGCTGAGCTCAGTGAACTCTGAGATTATTACCATTTCCCAGGATGAGAAAATTGAGACAGGAAGAGGGGAAAGCCACCAGCTAGTAAGTACAAACTGGCATTTGGCCCCAGACTCGCCTCTCCAGGCCAGTACTCATCCTGTTCCTACTCAGTAACTCAGCATGAGAAGACGCACCAGCAATACGATGGTGATAAGAGGATGAGCAGGAGGGAGGGAGGGAGGATGTGAGCAGCCTCAGGGGAACAAGGAGAGGACAGGGAGCAGAAGAGGGTACAGAAGAAAAAGGTGAGAATGAAGCTGCCAAGCACACAACCTCCAGAGCCCCGCGTGGGCAGAATGTGCTCACCTAGCCTCCGGGGCCTCCAGCCCTTCACGGTTCGGCCCCTCTCCACATCCACAAGGACCCGCCTGCCATCAATCTTCTTGCCGTCTGCGTGCTTGTAAGCGGCTGCAACAGATGTGGGGAGGGGGGAGGGGAGGAGTCCCCAGAGGGTTCTCTAGTCAGGACAGGGCCCAGCTCGGCAGCATCCCCATCCCCATTCGTCCCCATCAAGGCACTCACACTCACACACACGCCCACCAGCCAGCCAGGCAACTGACAGCCAGACCAACCCTCTCCCAAATCGGGGAGGGGCCTGCTCCATCTCAGCATCTGCTTCCTTATCACCCCCCAATCACCATTGGGGGGGCAAGACCACCCTCCACCGCCATGCCCCAGGCTTCCACGCCCTTTCTACTCCCAAATGACAGAGCAGCCCCCTCTTGCCAAGGTGGCCAAAGTCGCTGCAAAGAAACCGAAGGTTAACTTAAGGCTGGACTCTGCTGTGGTGGAGGCTCCTCCACAACCCCAGGCATGCACCCTAGCACATCATGCTGGGGGAGGAGGCCCAGCCGGCCGCTCTGCACCCCAGTTCACACCGATTTTTTCTGTTTTTATTTTATTTTTTTATTTTTGTGTGGAGGGGTGGTGAGTGTGGAGGGAACAGACATCAGAACAGAAAATGAACCAGAGGGATGGGAGAAATCCTTAGATGGCAGGGAGCAGAAGCGCAGGTTATGGTGCTCCCTGGGGGCCTGGAGGGGGCCTGGAGGGGCCCCGTACAGCAGGCAGGGGAGAGGGAAAGTGGAGGGAGGCATGGGAGACGTGCGGTGCTACTGAACATTCCTGCCTTACCTGAGACGACTGACTCTGCCACCCAACCCCAGGCTCCACCCCATCTCTCCCTCCACACCCCCCGAGCAACACACGCTGGGCAGCCAACCCAGCCTGAGCCTCTCAGGGAGGATGGGGAGTAGAGGGAGAGATGCGGGGAGGCATGATCCTGCTCCCGGGCAGGCACAGCAAAGGGCAGGCCTGGTCCCCTGGCCTGTCTTACACAGGGGCTGTAGGGAAGGCCAAAAAAGTCCCTGTCCCACCCCCAGCCCTGGCCTACGGGGTCGTCCTCAACCAACCACAATACCCTGCCCCGCCCCAGCCCGCTCCCCCCCAAATAACAACCAGAGGAAGAGAAAAAGGTGCCATTTACCGATGCCGGCCTTGCGGGTGTCCAAACCGAGCGGGATGGGGGGGGCCCGGCAACTCCTGGGGGCCTGGCGAGGAGGCGGGCTTCCCGGGGGGGGACACGGGACCGCTTACCTGGAGCCCCCAAGCTTACCTGAGCAAGCGCACCGACCCCACCCCCACCACCACAGGGTCAGCTAAAGCTACAGGGCAGGAAAATGGGGGGTTTTGGGGAACCACGGAGAGGGAGAACCACATCTCCTGCACCACCTGGCGACAGGCAGCGGAAGTGGTGGACCCCAAAAAACCTTAGGGAGGCCTTGAAAGAGGGGGAGACAAGAATTTACATCAAGTCTGGGAGCTGGGAAGCCCGGGGCCTATCTTGCTTAAATTTACAAAGAAGGCTGGGGAGGCCTTGGCAAACCTGTCCACCCTCACCTTTTCCCCGTGAAGTCCATGCTAGCCGAGGCACACGCCCCTCCCCCTCAGCACATGGAACGATTTTTCCATCTCGAACCCAACACTCCCTCCCACCACCTGCTTCAGCCCAAAGGCTGGCACACAAGGGGGCAGCCTCGGGGTCCAGGAGATGGAGTGCTGCCCGTGACCTGAGGAGGGGCCACTTGACCCCTGGGCAGAGGAGGGTAGTCAGGGAAGGAATTTTAAGGACCAGGAACAGTCAAGCAAAGGAACCCTGCTCTAGTTCAGTGTCCCAAACCCCAGAAGAGGCCCAACCCCAGAATAACAGCAAAGAAAACATGTGACGTGTGTACTTCTAGGCTTCTCTCTCTCCCTCTCTTAGGTCTCTAGATAGTGGAAGGGTCTGCAGTAAAATCTACAACACCATCAGCTGTTTGCAGCCTGTCACTTGATCCCTCCCACACCCCAATCCCTAATTCCATGCACTCTGGAGAACAACTGGGCACCACAGCCCCTCGAGAGGCCTCAACCATGATGAGGCAGACAGGAATGGGGCAGAGCACCCCAAATCTAGCAACCAAAGATCCTCCAGGGCCACCACAGTGACAGCCCCGCGGAAGGCACAGGGGCAGGGAGCGAAGGGTTGAAGGGTTCCACATGGAGCCCTGTCCCTAAGGCACCCCCTCGTCAGTATTCTCGCCACCTTGCCGCTGACATCATAAGCCAGGTCAGTCAGTGGTTGGATGGAACCCAACCGGAGGCCAGCTGCCTTTCCTATCAGGGTTCATCCTTCCTCTCCTGGGATCAGCAAGAGCATATGGATCAGGGGCCAGGAGGGACAAAAGGGCACCCAAACAAGGAAAAGGTTCTGGGTGCGGGGAGCCTGAGGGGGTGACTGGGGATGGGAGAAGGGGCGCCTCGCTGCTCCTGAGCTGCCTGGCTAAGCTGGGCTGTGTGCGGTGCTGAGTGATCTTACCCATGATACAAACCCTTATACCAACCATACACTGAGGTGTTGTAAGGGGAGCGTAAGCATCAGCTGCAAGCCAGCTGCGTGGTGGCTGCAGTGACAATAAGAACAGTCAATTAATATGGCGGCCCCTGGACACGCCGCAGCCATGCCCGCCCCCACCCACCCATCCCTGCCCAGGTGGACGCTGCTGTAGTCTCATAGGGGGCTTTGGAGTTGTGGGGGCAGGCGCTGAACATGCCTACCAGCCTGCTGCCCGCTGAGAAACAGGGTGGGGGGCCAAGGGTGGGGAGGCGGAGGGTCGGGGAGCCTAGCCCCAGCTCTGCTGGAGGGAAGAGAAGGCTGGTTCAAAGGCCAGTCCTCATTCCAACCTGGCTGCCCCCAACTCCGGCGGGGGGAATGGGGAGAGGCTCCCCGAAAATCCGACCCCCCCACTCACCTTCAGCTGGCTCCAACCCCCACCCAGTTCCCTCCTTGCCCGAGGTTCAACGTGACACTTACCTCCCCAGGTTCACACACACACACACCACACACACATACACACATTGTGGGGGATTTTTTTTGTGTTTGTTTTTTTTTTAAAAACACATACATGTATAAAAAAAAGATATATTAGAAACAGAGGGAGGAGGAGAAAGGACATTGCTAATGTCAGGTTTGGCAGGATGGGAGGTGGGAACAGACAACGGGAAGGGACTGGGGCAGCAGAGAGGGTCAGAGGGCCGGGCTCAGGTGGGAGGTACTCACAGTGCATATCTCGTTCATGTTCGTACTCGATGAAGGCATAGCCTCGGGGCTTTCCTGACCGCTTGCTGTAGACCATGTGTATCTGGAGGGCAGGGGGCGGGGGCAGAGGTTATCTCCGGCACAGGGAAATCTCATCCCATCAATCACAGCCTGTGTGTCAGGCCCTGGGGTGGGTGATGCCCAAGACGGATGCCTCAGACCATATCTGTCTTTCAAGTCCCCAGAGTGTCTGACACTCTAAAGCAGTGATTCTCAACCTTCCTAATGCCGCGACCCTTTAATACCACGGTGGGCAAACTTTGACTCGAGGGCCACAATGGGTTCTTAAACTGGACCGGAGGGCCGGAACAAAAGCATGGATGGAGTGTTTGTGTGAACTAATATAAATTCAAAGTAAACATCATTACATAAAAGGGTACGGTCTTTTTTTTTTTAGTTTTATTCATTTCAAACGGGCCGGATCCGACCCGCGGGCCGTAGTTTGCCCACGGCTGCTTTAATACAGTTCCTCATGTTGTGGAGACCCCCAATTTCATTGTTACAAATTGAACATAATTAAAGCATAGCGATTAATCACAAAAACAGTATGTAATTATATGTGTTTTCC